TATATACACATATATGTATGTATGTATGTATGTATGTATGTATGTATGTATGTATGTATGTATGTATGTATGTATATATGTATATATGTATACATACTATATACATATATAGTATTGACATGTTTTGTAATATTTCACTTTCATCGCAGTAAATAAAGAAATTATGCCGATCGATAACTCGTACACGCGGAAACATCGCAGTTGAAAGCAATATGTGCTCATGAAGGTGTTCAGCAAGCAAAAATAAGTTGTTAATGTGTGCTTGTGATCACAAGAATATCGATCAAGCACAGTGTTGATGGGGTGCATCAGTGTTTGCTTGTGTCGAATGCACCAAGTACGATATATAAATCCTATGGATTTCTTGCTTTATCGCAACATCACGATGGCGATACAACTTTGCCTTGGATTATATTTCGCTACTATGTTTTAAGAATAAACTAATGATATTTTGACTGAACGATTGAATGCAAACAATTCGAATATTTTGACTGAACGATTGAATGCAAATAATTCGAACAATGAATTGTGTATTATAAAATGAAACGCTCCTTACTCCGAAGTCTCGTTTACGTAAAGTTATCATAAACGAAGAAATGTGTTAAAGGAACTATGTGTTCCAAGGTAGTGACATTGTGAAGAAAATGAAGCTCTTGTTCTCTATTAACACTTTGAATACAATGATATATTTGAAAAAAAAAAAAAATAGTACTTGCATGTTATACAGTTTATAAAGAAAATAAATTATCTTCCATTCTCCTGTTTTGCACCGACAAAATATGAAAGTAAGTTTATGTAATGTTAGGAACATGTACTGTCGATTTTGAAAAATTTACATAGCACATAAGGAAATTCCAGATTGATTACTGCGTGTGCCTACGTGTGGATCTCACTTTCGTCGGCATAGCCTTCTTATATATTGAGGTCAATCTAACGATAAATATCTAACAAAGAATTTTATGTAAGATTTAATTAATGCAATATTTAAAACCAGTATCTTTTGTAAAGTTTTAATTATAAGTATACATGTCATGAAATGTCCCACCCCTAACAAGGAGTTAAAGGAGAAAACTTTTAGCACCTGTTTGAAGAATATTGATTTCTTTTTCTTGTTTTTTCTAATTGAACTAATATTTGGACAAAGTGGCACGAATACTCTGTTTATAAGTGCGGAAAATGTTGCGACAGATCTGACCGCTCTTAATATTATAATGGTTGTTAATTAAGGGTCATTGATCTTCTTTTAATACTAGAAAAAGGATTCTTAGAAGATCGTAGACCCGTACATGAAAGATTTATGTATAAATAGATAAATGTACAGTAATACAAGGATAATTAAATAGACAAAAACAGATCATTGGTATTGTATTAATAATTATTATTGTATCTAACGTACAGCATAATAAAATAAATATTATTATATTTTCAATCTAACCTTCTTATTTTTTCAGTACTAAAACTTTTTATTTCGTTAAAATTAGTGTGATGCTAGTTGATATAAAGAGAGGAATAATTAATATAACATATTTAATATATATGAATAACTACTGTGATTATATATTAAATATAACAATTAATAAGATGTATATATATAGTAATATAATATAATAATTAAAATCCTGTTTGAAATCATTTTGAATTTTGGAATAATAATTGTTTGTAAAGATAGGAAAATTAATAATAAAGCAATTTAACATAAGTTTAATTTCTTTTTTAAACAATTGTATTTGTACTTTAGATTCTGTACTTCTTTTTTCTCATACATACACATTTATACAACATGAAAGTTTTATCAAAAAGAAGTATACTTGTAAACAGTCAGGTGGACCTCTTGTACAGAAAGGTTTATTAAAATTAATATTATTAACAACCATATTGATAGGAATATATTGGTATCCAATGTCTTGGAAATAAAATACTATTCCTCTTTTCCTTCTCGAGGATGTATAACGTTAATCTCGGTATAATCTTTGGCGATATCAATGTACTAAAAATATTTGCTTATTAATATCAATAACTAGTAATAAAAATTATATTTAATTATAGGATTTTTAACTTACCTTTCTTGGTACAAGAATTTCTAGGACTTGTAAAATAATATAACATAAAGATACAACAAGTAGGTAGGCTAATACTCCACTTCGAACATAACTTGCTAATTGTTGACCCAAATTTTTTTCATTTTCTTGTTTTACTAAATTATATACTACTTCAGTCCTTTTAGTAATGTTAAACCAATTATAAAATAAACTTATTCTTTTATGCATTTCAAATGGGCATTTAGTATTACCTTTTTTATAGTCTGTTATAGCAGATTCTAGCCCTTCAATGAGAGCAGGTACAGTAGGTTCTACTAAATAAATTAAATCAGGTGGTAATACTTCAGGTATACCACCAACCTTCGTTGAAACAACTTGTAAACTATAACAAATGGAAAGATTTTGTTTATATAAGTAATAAAGATAACTTTTTTTGACGTTATGTTAAAATCTTAATTAATATTTTACCCGCACGATGCAGCTTCAACAATTGCCATACAATATGCTTCTGTTAAACTTGTATTCAGAAATATATGTCCTTTGTTTAATACATGTCTAATTTGGGAATGTTCTATGCTTCCAAGTAATGTGACTCTATGTTGTAACAAATTTCGTTCACGTACTTCTTCTATGAGCCATCTTTTAGGGCCATCTCCAGCAATTAGAAATTGGATGTTATGATACCGACTACAAAAATCTGGTATAATGCGAGCTAATAAATCGACGCCTTTGCGATATACTAATCGCGAAACTATGACTATCGTAACTATAATAAATAATAAGCAACATTATTATGTTATACACATTATTGTTGTAACATATAAATATAAAAATAGAAAATAACTTACTAAAATTATCATCTCGTTTACTGATATCAGGCATAAATAATGTAGTATCAACGGCATTTGGAATAACAGAAACTTTTTCTTTTAAGACCTTTGCCCTTAATACTGTATTTTCTTTTCCAGTATGTGATACACATATACAATGATTGCAATCAACTAATGATATTTCTAAAAACTTATTTGTTAAAATTGCAGATGCATCCGCAAAGCCAAAAAGTGAATGATCTGTAAAAATAGTCTAAAATCCCAGCATACAGGAACAATATAACATATGAATAGTATATATTCTATTGTTGCGTAATAAGCAGCTTACTTTTAGTCCCATCAATCGACCAATTAACATTCCTTCATGAGCAAGAGCAGAAAAAGCTGAATGACCATGTACTATTTGAATTTCTTCTCTTAGGAAGATATATCTAATAAGAGGAATAGAACAAATCATTGTTGGAAGAACACATTGATTATAGAATACTTTTACTGGAATGTAGTACACCTTAAAAATGAAACAATGTATTTTTAACATATAACTGTTTTTTTAATTTTTAATTACTTTATTCTATATTGAACATACTTTTAGACCATTTGTCATATAACGTACTCCAATTCTATCACCATAGGAATGAGTGAGCACTACAACTTTATGTCCACGTCCTAATAAACATTGAGATAAATTAAAAATATGCTCTTCTACACCACCCATGTTAGGATAAAAGAAATCAGACACCATACTGCAAAATTAAATAAATATTAATATTTTTTTGCACTATAAAAAAAAAAATAAAGAAATATATTCTACCAAATAAAGAATATATTCTTTTTTATTAATGTAATTACAAACCATATTTTATGTTTTATGTTGTTCATTATGATAACAGAATTGTAACATGACTCATCTAATAAGATAATACATACTATTAGTAATTCATATAATCGAAATCATCTAAAGTATTTAGAAAGTTTTTGCACATTAATACACGTGCAACTAGATTATTTTCAATAAATTTCCCATGTTATAAATTTTTTAGATAGCTTTCTTAGTTGACTACTAAGCAAAACTATATCACACAATTGTTTTTATCTTTCAAAATGAAAAATTCAAATTTTTTAATTTTATACGCGTAAAAAATTAAATAAGGTTATATAACTCGTCAAAAATTTTTATAGTACATATGTAATTAATATTTTCCATTTTTTTCATTTTAATTAAAAAAGTTGAAATCTTCATGTTTTTAAATACTTTCAACATAGATAAATTTACTACAACCTCATTATTTCTAATAAGACGAAACAAAGGACATACACACATTTAAATCGAATAGAAGCGATTATATTCGATTCGACTTTTTACTAAAATCAATGAGTTTGTATCTCGCAAATCGATATTTTGTCGACAAGAAAATTGAATTTTTTCTTAATTTGCTGCATGTTATAATATTGTAAAATGTTAAAAATTCAACAGAAATAATATATTTTGTTTATTTATTATTTTAATTAAAGCATTTAAGTTTTCAAAATTTATGGTATATTATAAATTAAATTTCCAAAATGGTAGAAATCTCTACGATTATTATATATTATATTGCCATTACCATTTAAACTACAAAATAAAAATCCTACATTAGATTACCACTATTTAATAAAAAGATATTAAAATAGTGGTTATTGCAAAGTATGTATATATCCGTTTCTATCTTATCCATATAGTTACAATAGTTACACCGTTCGTGACTGCGTGTGGAGAGAGACACAACAAAGAACGAGATAGAATATATACAAGAAGCATTCGTTAAAGGAAGACAGAGAGATAGTGGAAAGGAGAAGGCAATGAATGGTTTGGTTGTATGTCGATGGTTGGTGCACAACAAATGGTCGACATGTTTCATCAACGATGCGGTCATCGTGTAACTTTAACAAACAACAATTGCACGGCCATACGGGATTTTTCAGAATATACTTTTGGATTAGTTCTCAGCGCGGAGCCACTTAAAAATGACGAGCTTTTCGAAGTTCGCATCGATAAAAAGGTACCGAAACGCAACCTTTGAACCTGTCTAGTTTGTTAGTGCATTGCTAGTACTCGCATCTGTCAAAACGTTGTTTACAATGTTGATGATTTAAAGTTTTCAATTTATCATTCATTTATTTAGGATCTACATATGTTCCATACTTTTATTAAAACTGTCATATAATGTATCATTAGCAAATCAAATTGTACTTAAAATCAGACGTTCATATTTTGTTTATTGTTTTTGGCTCCTTTTTTTAAACGATTTGTTTTAAATTTCATATTATTAAATTTAAGATTAATATATATTCATATATTGCAATTTAAAATGTATGAAATAATTATCTTTATATGTAGATATATATACATTTTATACATATAAAAGTATATAAATAAATATATATATATAAATTTATTTTATTATGTGTATGTATATATATTAATACACAATAAAAAGTATTAGTAAAATATAAAAAAATTTAGCATAAATTACTAATCATCTTATATTGAATTACTTTTTTCTCAAGTTTAAATAATGTTATGTAGATGACATCATGGAATGGTAGTATAGAAATTGGAGTAACAGAGTGTGATCCAGAAGTAATAGAATTACCAGCTTGTGCCACTAATTTACGTCAAGGAACATGGATTATGTTTGATTCTGGCATAATGCATGATGGAATAAGAACAGTAGAAATGTATGGGATGGATCTGAATGAATTAGAAGAAGGAAGTACTTTAGGAGTAATGAGGACATCTAATGTATGTCTTTATGTATTAATATCTTGATACTTTATTTAATAAATTATTTTATTCGCTAATTGATTTTTTCTCTATAGCATGAATTGATATTTTATATCAATGGTGTCTCTCAAGGAGTAGCTGTATCCAATATTCCAGAACGTATTTTTGCAGTTGTAGACATATATGGTAATTGTGTGCAAGTGACCATAACTCACCCACAAATTGCTTCTGCTTTATGTAATGAACCAAAAGATGAAGTTGAAATTAATAACGATTATGCTCTTGAAGAAGCATCTAATTCCTCAACAACTAATCTAGTCGCTAATTTGAATGTTAATTTAAATGTTAATGTTAATGTTAATTTACCCAAGAATCCAAGTCCTGCTGCTATTAGAGAAGATAGATTAAGGTTTCATGAAAGAGTTGGTTCACTGGCAAAGTTGTCTAATAATGCCAGAACTGCAGAAAGACGAAGACCCTTAGATGAATTTAATAATGGAGTAGTAATGACTCATAGGCCATTGAGAGATAATGAATTATTTGAGGTAGATAAAGAAGATGAAAGATAATGAATAATTTTTTCTACAAGATATTTTATTGCAAATTATATTGCTATAGGTACGAATTGATAGGCTTGTGCACAAATGGTCAGGTAGTATAGAAGTTGGAGTTACAATGCACAGTCCAACGGCATTAGAATTTCCAGCAACAATGACTAACATGCGGTCAGGAACAACAATGATGTCTGGTTCTGGAATTTTAGTGAATGGAAGAGGCACATATCGTGAATATGGAGAATTTAATTTAGACGAATTAAGGGTAATTAAGAAATGTGATGACAGTAACAATATTTTATATTACATATGATACAATAAAAAACTTATTTAGGAAGGTGACAGAGTAGGCATGATAAGACGAAGCAATGGAAATCTTCATTATATAATAAATGGGTTGGATCAAGGTATTGCTGCTAAAGTACCTGCAGGTGTATGGGGTGTTATAGATTTGTATGGTATGACGGTAAAAGTAACAATCGTCGATCGTGATGAAAGAGAAGAACAAAATTTAGTTACTAGAAGAAACACATTACAATTACAAGGTTTAAATGGTAAAAGTATAGTATTAGTACTTTTTGTTTTGTTAATGATTTACCATACAATGTGATAATAAACTTTTTAAGTACCTTTATTATTTAGAAACAGAAGAAGAACCACCAGATAGACTCATGTTTCATACATGTTGTGGTACTCATGTTGAAGTAATTAATAATGGACGTACTGCACATAGGCCTAAGTGAATAAAACTTTATTTAAAAATATATATGAAATTTGACTAAAATGTAAAGTATTTATATCCGTGTGCCATTATTTTCTAGCGTAATGGACGATTTCAACAATGGTGTTGTATTGACTTCAAGACCACTAAAACCAAATGAATTATTTGAAGTGAGATTGGACAAAATTGTAGTAAAGTGGGCAGGATCTATTGAAATAGGCGTTACTACTCATTCCCCAACTGAATTGGAGTTTCCTTTCACTATGACAAATGTTAGGTATGTAAAATAATATTTCCAATTTTTGTTATTATATATATATATTTTCTTAAATTTATGTTAAGTTTATCGCCCGTGTTATTGCTCGAAGGTGGTCATATCCCTTGCAGATCCGGCACATGGATGATGACAGAAAATGGAGTAGTGCACAATGGTACTACCATAATAGATGAATATGGTCAAAATCTTGATGGACTGCAAGTCGGGGATCGTGTAGGCGTAATGAGAAAGGATAACGCAACATTGCACTTTTACGTGAATGGTGTTGATCAAGGAGCAGCGGCAATGAACGTGCCTGAGAAAGTTTATGGTGTTATAGATCTTTATGGGCAAGCGGCTCAGGCAACTATAGTTGATAGTACAGATTTCTATAGTCCTACTACAAACAATTCAAGCTTTAGTAATACAACGTTGTATAGGTTCGTAAATACTGTTCATTCTTAAATATACAATTGAAAATATTTCTCATTAATTACTTCTTTTAAACAGTGACTTGAGGTTTCATCATATACATAGCAAAAATGCAAAAATAATAAATAATGGATTGACTGCGTTGAGGCCTAGAGCTTTAGGAGAATTTAATGAAGCTATCGTGATCGCAAATCGTGCATTGCGTGATGGAGAAATGTTTGAAGTAACAATTGACAAAATGGTTGATAGGTGGACAGGTGCAATTGAAGCAGGTATATATTTTACAGTAAGACTTATATTTTCTTACTTATCAGAATACCTGTTTTGAGGTCATATGTCCTTACGTGATCTTTTTCAGTGTATCGATAAGTGGCATCATTTGACTATACCCGTATACTCTTTCTTTTGTTTTTTGATGCGTGCCGCCTCAGTCGTCGGTCTGTTTTATCTCTCTGACGGTTCGACTGCTTGTTTTTTGTGCAATTGTGTATAACCAAAAACGTTTATTCTTTTTCTTTCTTTATTATTATTGTTGTTGTTGTTGTTGTTATTATTATTATTATTATTGTCGAACATTTTTGTTTATTAAGAATATCAGTACAAGAATATTTTTTAGGTGTAACTCTTATAAGACCGGATGAATTGGAATTTCCATCTACAATGACGGATATAGATCACGATACTTGGATGTTGTCTGGATCTAATGTTATGCGAGATGGTCTTATCCTAAGGAATAATTATACTTGTGATTTAGATAAACTGCTAGAAGGTAATCGCATTGGCATGATGCGATGTTCAGATAGTAGTTTGCATTATTATTTAGATGGAGTAGATCAGGGACCTGCTTGCACAGGTGTACCACCATATGTCTATCCTGTGATCGAATTGTATGGACAATGTGTTCAGGTATGTCAAATGATATATTTTTGTAAATATAACATAATAAAAAATATATGCTATTTGTAATACATATATATGTTAATTTATAAGGTTACAATCGTGCAGCCAGAACGTAGAGATGCAATGACACAACAGTATTTGCCATCAGAAAACAGTACTAGTCAGCAGCCTACATCTGTAATTCAACTTCAAGCTCAAACAGAAATAATGCATAAATTTCATGAATCTGTTGGCTTAAATGTTGAATTAAATAGTGATAAAACATTAGCGACTAGGTGTAGAGAATACAATAATGCTATATTATTAAGTGAAGCACCTTTAGAAAATAATGAACTTTTCGAAATTGCCATTCATGAAGTTGCGCGGGAATGGAGCGGCTGTTTAAGGATAGGTGTTGTGAAAAATGAAAGTGGAAATTGGTTATCATCTATGAACCTTGTACCTGGCATAGGATCTATTTCAGCAGATGCTTGGTACTTAACAGGTAATATTAGAATAAAATTGGTAATATACATTATACTATTTATGACACTAAAATTTTGTGTATTCAGGTAATGAAGTAAGACATAATGGTTATGTTTTATGCATGAATTACTGTCCAAGTTTGGAATGGTTGCGTGTTGGTGATAAAATTGGAATGAAACGTACGCACGAGGGTAATTTAAAGTTTTATATAAATGGAGAGGACATGGGTATAGCAGCAACAAGTATACCAGAAATGGTGTATGCTGTGATTGATCTTTTTGGTAGTACAGTGGCCGTAGATATAACAAGTAGTAAACAACAAAATAATGCGGTATCTCCAAATGCTAGTTTGAGATTGCAAGATTCTTTGGAATTATTGCTAGATCCTATGCCACCTTTTGTCAAAGTTTTGCGAAAGTATGTTCGGGTTAATTATATTCAGTATACATCTTTTTCTAATTTTTAAAAATAACAGTATTGTTGTTTCATATTTAGTGAGACTGGAATGGACACATCTATAGATGTATCTGAAGGAAAATTATTAAATAATGCTACGCTCACGCCAACGCAATCAGCAGCTCAATTAGTCGGAGAAAGCGATTGGAATTACGAGTTTCATGAAAATCATGGTAGAAACATACAGCTTGAAACTAAAACTATTGCACGAAGAGTTGCAAGTTATAATCAAGGTATTATTTATTCTTAGTCATATAAAAGTATTAATTTTGATAGTCTACATTATGTTATGTTTTTAAGGAGTGGTAATGTCTAGTCGTCCTCTAATAAAAGGCAAACCTTTTTTGGTAAAAATAGAGAAACTGAATAAACGATGGGTTTCTAATATTTACTGTGGTGTAACTTGTATTTCACCCGAAAAAGCTAATTTTCCTTTAACTGCACTTGGTTTTAGAAAGCATTCTTGGATTATTTGTAGTGACTGGATATCACATAATGGTATTAGGGTAAGTATTCGTTAAATTGATGTAAGTCGTGAAAGGTATATTAATAAATTTTTATATTATTATTAGGTAAAAACGAAGTATGGAGCTGCTTTGGAAAGTCTTCACTCCAATTCTATAGTAGGTTTATTGATCGATGACGACAACAGATTACATTTAATTATTAATGGTGTAGATCAAGGTGTAGCTGCAACAGACTTACCCCCTTATATTTATGGTGTATTTGATCTGTATGGGCAGTGTGAACAAGTTTCTATTGTTACAAGTGGTATGGAACAATTCTCATCAACTACCATTAACAATGCTGTAACATCTGTGGAATGTATAAGGACCAAATTAGAAGATGCAGAAAACTCAAGAGAGAAAGCAGACTTAGAATGTCATGAAAAAGAAAACATCATCGCAGCTACTTCTTCGGATCTATCTTCTTCTACCTCACCAAGTGTGCCGAGTCAGTGCAGCTCAAATGCTAAAGACGATGATATTGTAGAGTATGCAACGTGTAACAACGATAATGTACATTTAGCAAATCATATCGAGAACAAAGCAGTGCCCAGTATCTCAGACAGTAATAATTTGGATTCGAATTCCGATATAAATCATGACACAACACGAAGTATTAAAAACAAGACTTACGACAATTCGAACCAGCTAAATAATAGCGCGATATTGAATAGCCAGTCAGAAAATTTGAGTATTAGAAACGAATGTACAAATGTAGAGATAAATAATGCGACTAATATTAATATTAAAAATGGCACCGCAAACAGCACCAGTAACATAACTAACTTAAATACTAACGCTAATAATGCGATAAATGAAAGCATAGTGTCTAATAGTCAAGGGAATAATATAAGCTCTTTGCATCAAAACAATGCATCTGTTAATATGTTAAACTCGTCTCAGACATTCTTGTCTCAGAATACATTGAATAATGCAACATCTGATATTTCAAACACTGTTTCTTCTAATTTCAATGAAATGCGTTCAAACATATCTTGGAACAACACTCTTGATAATTCTGTTGGTGGAAATACAATTTTAGGACAAAATACAATTTCTATTTACAATACGCCTTCGTTCCAGTTGCTGCAGGCACCATTGTTACCGTCCACTCCTCTGGGAACAAACATTATACTTTCAAAAAAGTGTGAATATTTAAAGGCGTGTATGAGACTGAAGAAATCACTGGTTTTGCCGGATGAATTCTTTTCTTTAGAAGATGTATTGTGTTATTGTAATAACTGTTATAAAGTAGAAGGGGATAGTGCAATTTGCAAAAAAGGTGAACCACCAGCAGAATTTGCTATACCGATTGGATGGAGTAGGTTTCCATTGAAACAAAGTATTAATGCCAATCAAATTCCACATACTATAACTGATAAGTGGCATGTTGCTTTTTATGGTATACGTCTGGACGCAATCAGGTAAACGAAATGGATTTAGAATTTGATGAAAGATACTTCTTTATATAATTCTTTGTATTTATTATACAACTTTTCATATACTCTAGTTGTATTCATTATTTTTAGACTGATTTTGGACACGGGTGAACTTATGACAAAAGAGCAACTAGATATGAGTAATCTAACAATGAATATAAAGACCGAAGATCAAAATCCTCAGGTAGCTTTCTCCCCTAGTATAAAATATGCAGCATCTGAGGAGTTTACCAAGAAGTATCCGTAAGTACCTCCATACCTGGTATTAATTAATTATGAGTTATTAATTTCTTATGTTTTACAGATATATCGATACTCAATCAAATAGAAAGCTGACAGCAACTACGGCATTTCAGCTGTTAGTGAGGCCTGGTTCATATACAATCAATTCTGGTAGTAAAGATGGTGATGATCCGCAGTTTGAATCTATTAAATGGGCTACCAAAGAAGCCGGGGCTACAGTTATCGTGGCCCTCTTAATTCACCTCGATGGATTTTAATTCACATAACACGGAAGTGAGAAAGCGTTGCACGATGCAATTGTTGTGAGAGACACACTTTCGTTTAAGGTTGAGGAATGTACATAAACATTATATAACGTAATATAGTTATCATAAGATAATTTTTTTAAATCAATTTTTTATCTTCAATTATTCCGTCGAATTTCCGCTGTGTATATTTACGTTGAATTCTATGTTAAGTACTTCAGTAAAAGGATAGCGATCGTTTTGTAAAAATCTGTTGAGGTTTTCGTTACCTTACTTTTAATTTAGTATGCAGTGTTAAAGAAAGGTTCATGATAGGTGTAATTTATCGACTGTGGATCGAACAAATTTGTAATAATCAGTCCATTAAAGTATACAGTAGCATGTATATCAAATGCATAGTACATATGTATTATGTTACATATTTAATGTAGCTACTGGCCTAGGTTTACAACGACGTGGATTATGTCGAGTAAATTTACACCGAAGGTTCGTTGCTACATTAAGGAAGCACCTTAATCCTCGAGCTTTATGCCTAACGAATACCAAATCTTTAAGTATTAATAACACAGATACAAATTTCTCACCTGTTTTATTTTTTTCTTTTTTTTTTTTTTGTTTAAGCACACCTTCGCAGCATTGATAAAAAGATATGTTACCTGTATAATGTAGAAATAAAGTGATACCATTGTAAGTCACATTACGAGGCTACCATAGAGAATTCAAGAATTAAATACCCACAAAATTGAAAATATTCAGGAAATGTAATAACTATATTTTCAAATACGCTGTTTAGAGTCGCAACTTTTCTTTGTGAATATCATGTGCTCTATTTATAAATGCATACAAATAATATAAGTGGAAGAAAACGACAAATGTGTCTATCTTTCGCCAGTAATTCATTGAATTTGTTACCATTATTTATTTTGTTTTGTATTTTATTTTTTTTCCTATTATT